TCTGTCTGTCTGTCTGTCTGTCTGTCTGTCTATCTCCCTCTCTCTCTCGCTCTCTATCTATCTATATGTCTGTCTGTCTGTCTGTCTGTCTGTCTCTCTCTCGCTCTATCTATCTATCTGTCTGTCTATATATCTATCTATCTGTCTGTCTATATATCTATCTATCTGTCTGTCTATATATCTATCTATCTGTCTGTCTATATATCTATCTATCTGTCTGTCTATATATCTATCTATCTGTCTGTCTATATATCTATCTATCTGTCTGTCTATATATCTATCTATCTGTCTGTCTATATATCTATCTATCTGTCTGTCTATATATCTATCTATCTGTCTGTCTATATATCTATCTATCTGTCTGTCTATATATCTATCTATCTGTCTGTCTATATATCTATCTATCTGTCTGTCTGTCTGTCTATCTGTCTATCTGTCTGTCTGTCTGTCTATCTGTCTATCTGTCTGTCTGCCTCTCTCTCTCTCTCTGTCTATCTGTCTGTCTGTCTGTATCTATCTATCTATCTATCTATCTATCTATCTATCTATCTATCTATCTATCTATCTATCTATCTATCAGCATCTAATACTAATACATTTAATGCTATTAAATAAGAATTACCATTTGATACTATTACTTGACTATGGTACGTAAAATCACAGGGACAGCAATTGTGACAACAGAAAACAAGGCCATGGCATAGTTTTACTTTCTTTTCTAGTCAGATAAAGAGAAAAATAAGTGCCATTGTTCAGCAGATCCACGTGTAATATCGTACCCATGACGTATTGGCTTAGACATGTGGATTACATATTGCAGTGCAATTCCCAACAGTCTGAGCCACAGATTCCAGTATTATTCACACACAGCAGCAAACACATGGAAGATCCCAGAGCAAAGGCCCCGCTGGGGGTCCGAGAAGAGGGGGAGAGAATAAAAGGAGACTGGATGTCTGGTTTGAGTTATAACACAAGGCGTTCTCTGTGCTGCCAGCCCGTAATGTTCCCTTTGGCACCGTCGACTACCCCCTCAGAAGTGGAGCAGGACCTAGAAACCAAGGGCTGGAAAAAACTAGAGGAAAAGTAAACTAGCTAGTGAAGATGAGGGGAAATCGACATTTAGAAACAGATTCCTAAATAATGTCTCATCACTTTTCAATGTTTGAAGCAAAAAATTCCAGTTTAAATCAAACAAACCCTAGCTTTTCAACATGTTTTCGGACTCTACTGGAGTTACTTTGTGAAACTACAAATTTACAAGCAAGAGATTACTTTTAAAGGGTCATGAAATCCCAGACAGGGATGGGCAGTATTTCAAATACATGCATTTGAAATACAAAATACTATTTTGTATTTAAATACATTTAAGCTAAGTATTTTTGTATTTTCAAAATACAAAAATACTTTTTGCCAATCAACCTCTTAATTAGACTGCTGATTTCCTGGATCAACAAGTATACACAAATACTAAATACAAAAATACTAAGATTAAATGTATTTAAATACAAAATACATTTGACTTTTTCCAAAGATATTTAAATACAAAATAGTATTTCAAATACATGTATTTGAAATACTGCCCATCCCTGCAGGAAATCAGCAGTCTAATAAGGTCCCATATTTTACACCTTTCTGGAGTTTTATTTTAGACAATATGATGGGACCTTTCAAATCTACATCGTGTTGACGTCACAATTTGTGACGTGGCAATGGACTATAGTACATCGATGACGCGTCGGTGTCTATTAAATTATTCATGAGACTGCGTGTTCTTATCCTATAAGAGGCTTCGCTTAATTATTCACAACAGCATGTGTTGATTTGCTATGACAGACGTTTCAGACAGTGATGACATCGCGTACATTAACTGAGAGAAGCATTCATGGATCGAAGAAGAGTGTTTGTTTTTGCTTTGTAATAAGAGTTCGGCACAACCGCGATTCATTCACCTGGTGAGCATAACCGTTTTTACAGCTCTGTGACACAAGCCGTCAAAAGGCTTATATAAATGCCACAGAATAAGCCTTAAAAGTTCTCAGAGGTGCAACAGCTCGTTCATATATATGTTTTCGATGCTGAGTGCAAATGGCTGTGCATTTATTTGTGTTTTTAACTCGATGCGTGCGAAATGAAGCTGTCTGTCTCCCCTCTTCCCCCTCCTCCGCTCACCACGCCCAGGTTTTCAGCATTTTTAAAAACTGCTGAAACGGGGGGTTTCATGACCCTTTAATTATTCAATTTATTGTAAAAATAAACAACGAACGCTTTCAGAACAATTCACTTGACTGAGTCACCAAACACCTAATAAAATTCACCCAGAAAGCAACTGATCTTGTATAACTCACATTATACGTATCAATCTGGACAAAACAAGCAGAATTTGGTATCAAAATTCTATTGTATGAAAATAAAAATTAAGCTTTTTAGGTTTAATGTTGCACTTGTGAGGGTCTTCAACACACAATCAATTAAAGAGACTGTTCACCCAAATATGACATTTCTATCATTATTTGCTTTGTTGTCCAGACAAGAAAGCAGTCAAACAGGTTTGGAAATAATTTCATACATTTTTTTTTCGTTTTTAGGTGAACTATGCCTTTAAAGGCACTACAACAACAACAAATTAACTACAGGAAATCAAAAAACAAAACCAATCTATGATGGTGTTTTTTTTTTGCTGTAATGACACAAACTCATACTGGAAACACAAATAAAGCCTTTCCAGTTTATCCCACACAAATAAAGAGCAGAAGTTCAGCAATTAAAGGGGGAAATCCTGCCTCAAAACAGATTTGTGCAACCTAGGCAGAAATATGAAAAGGCATATTTGCTTGTGTGAACCGCAGTTCACTTGATTTGACATTTACATTCATATTTTTGGCAGTTGTTGTTACAAGACTTTCAAAAATTCCTCACTATCCAGCACTGGTCTAAGAACATGTCTGAAATCATATTTCACCCCAAATTAAAAGAAAATGACAAAAGTGACAAAAATTATATTTTTGCATAAAGAAACCTAATTATAGGACCATTTAGATCCTTATTCTTATTACTCTAAAGATGAATTTAAAATTCTATTTTAAATGTTAATATTAATTTAACAAACACATTTATAGTATAATACAATAATATATAATCATAATCATATCATAATATAATAATTTAAATTGTAATTTTATATTGTCATTGTCATTGTAGTGATATGATTTCATTTAAATCATGGTTTCCTTTTTTACTTAAATACAATGAATGCATTACTATGAGAGTCACAATGACAAAAATTATATTTTTAAAAAATCTGAATGCATTACGATCATTTCTGGGAGCATAACTTAAAGGGTTAGTTCATCCAAAAATGAAAATTAGCTTGTGTTTTACTCACCCTCGAAGGATCCTAGGTGTATATGACTTTCTTCTTTCAGACGAATCCAGTTGGAGTTATATTAAAAATTGTCCTGGCTGGCTATTACAAGCTCTATCATTGCAGTCAGCGGGTGTTGCAGTTGAACAGTCCACTAGTCGTCAAATAAAGCGAGCGCATTCGTAATAAAACGTGCCACAGACGGCTCCGGGGGGGTGAATAAAGGCCTTCTGTAGTGAATCCATGCATTTTTGTAAGAAAAATATCCATATTTCAAACATAATAAACACTTTTATATCACTTCCGCTAACTGTCATACGCGGAAGCCATTCCGGTGGATGACGCAGCATGTATGCGTTGCATGATAAGTGACGAAAGCGGAGAGACAACAAAACAAAACGCCAGTCACGAATTAGAAGTACAAACCGAAGATTTGCAAAGAAACATGTCGGAGGATTTCGATATAAGCCAAGAGGAGACTGGTTTTCCTTTGCTAAAGTAAGGAAACTTTGCTTCCTTTGCTCCTAGAATTAAACTAGCGAGACTAGCATATCTCAGAGGCGCGCGCTGCGCATATGTGGTGCGTCATCCGCCGGAACGGCTTCCGCGTATGACAGATACGAGAAGAGAGAGAAAAGTGTTTATTACATTTGAAATATGGATATTTTTCTTACAAAAACTCATGGATTCACTACAGAAGGCCTTTATTCACTCCCCGGAGCCGTGTGCGGCACGTTTTATTATGAATGCGCGCGCTTTATTTGACGACTAGTGGACTGTTCAACTGCAACACCCGCTGACTGCAATGATAGAGCTTGGAAGAGCCAGGACAATTTCTTATATAACTACGACTGGATTCGTCTGGAAGAAGAAAGTCATATACACCTAGGATCCTTCGAGGGTGAGTAAAACACAAGCTAATTTTCATTTTTGGGTGAACTAATCCTATTTATGAAAGTACCTGAAAAACAAAATGATCCTAAAACAGGCTTCATTTTCCTCAAGGAACATGTCATTTCTTTTGTAAATGTAATTTCATTTCTTTTCATTTTGGAGTACAATGTGTCATGGAAAACATAGTATAATAATATAGTATAATAATTTATAATGTACATTTTATACCATATTTATAAAATAATTTCTCTAATTTCTTTTAATTTTAGAGTGAAATGTGATACAGAAGACAGGTTTCAATCTAAGTGAGGCTTTAATGAGGCAGCAGCGTTGCAAGTAACAAAACGTGTCCCTTTAAGGAGCTGGCCATGTGGCACACAGCAGAAATAAGGTCACAACTGGTTTTACGCAGGTATAAAGGCAGCAAAGAAATAAAAAAGGCCTCGAATGACAGCGGAAACCACCACATCAATTACTTTTTATAAAAAATGCACACAGACAAGACAAAATTTCAATCGCACATACTCAAACCTAGCCAAAAATCGCAATTCCACCTGGCGCAGTTCTTCCTCCCATGCAGCAGGGGGCGATGCACTCGACCCAAAAACACACTGAGCCACCGCTGTGCTGTACATACAGCTCACAGAGTTAGCGCGCGCATTCAAATTCTCCATTTCTGTTCAAATTCTAGCGAACAAAAGGCCTTCCTGCCGTTGACGTTGCGCATCTCTTGATGAGAAAGTCTGGCGTATCGACCTCAAACCGCTTCCACCGAACTCCTCAGTGCAGGAACCCCATCAAGAGCAGCGGCAACAGCAAAACCTGCAAAACCGTGGTCCAGACGAGGGCGGCTCTATTCCCAGCATTCCTCTGGCTGCAGTCGTCGCCGACGTAGCCGTTATAGCACTGACACTGAAACTCGTCGTGCACGCGGCTCAGCTCTTCTTCTCCCATCTGGCCCGAGACCTTCAGCGTGTTTCCCTGCCGCTCTATGCTGTGGGTGTTCGGGCTGAGATGCAGGTACGTGTCCGTGTCGGGACGTTTGCGAAGGCAGCGGCCGCGAAATCCGCAGAGGTTTCTGCTGCACTGCTCGGCGGCCGACGTCACGTTAAGTAGGTAGCGACCCAACGGCCCTCGCAGGTATTCGTTAAGACTGGAACAAGCCGTCTGGAAGATACAAGATTAAAGAATTAATCGAATACGACTTTTAGCATTTTTGTACATTAGGTTGTAAATTAGACCAATATCTTTCGCAATCACTAATTAATTGTCCAATATTTAACTTTTTATTTAATGATTATCTACTTCTGCATTGACATTTTAAAATAAATAGTTACTCTATTTCTATTACTCTCATTATCTAGAATAATGTTTTGTTTTTTTACTTAGAAAATAATTTATAAATATTTGTATTATTATTATAATTTTAAGTTTTACATTTTGTATAGGATTAATATAAATAGTCATTTAATATTTTTCATATGATTATACATATATGCATAAATAAATAATTTGTGTAAGAATGTATATTTTGTTTATTATATATATATTGTATATAATACGTAAAATTACAAATAAATAAAATTGTGCAAAATATTTAATTCAGCTGTTTTGTTCATTCTCTCTATAAATAAACAATAAGAGCAATGCCTGACAAATGATGAAAGAAATGTTGCAATAAATACTGTTAAATAAATAAAAAATAAACACTGAAAATTTCCTATTTAAATCATTATAGGTTTTTTTAGACAATGTTAGACAATGACAAAGGTAATCTTTAAGTAAAAATAGGAGAAATTAATATGCGATACATTAACAACAACAACAAAAAACTAATATTGTCAGACACCCAATAAAGTATTGAAATATTGTGCATCCCTAAATAAACCCTATTATGATTCTAAAAGACCCCTCCACATGTTAAAGTCCTGATCACCCTGTCAGGGTTTATTTTGTCATAATAACAGACTCATTGTACATGACCCATTACTTATGTAGAATAAATATTTATCACCATCTGCCATTAAAAAAAACCCAACATCGCTTGACCCCTAAAGTCAATTAATGTGAAGGAGGCGAGCTAATATCCTGATTAGGGCACAAACTTACATGACTGCTGGCGTAGTTGGAGTCGCCCCAGAGGATGACGCCCGCTACACCCAACGCCACGCTCTCGCCGATGGTCGACACCAGATCCGTCTGCACACAGACAGAAAGAATCGTCAGCTCAGCTCAGCACAAATGTGAGGATCCCATCAAAGCTAAACAGGTGTTTTAGATAAGGCTTCATGCGTCACTGAATTCAGAAATAATCGCCTCACCAAACACTGAGCTTCTTGTGTGTTTGTGAATAGCTTGTCTGTGCGTATTTGTTCATCGTTCTGCCGTTTGTATATTTGTGACAAGTGACATCGGTGATGAACGACAAAGACTTCATTCTTCTCTTTCTTGACCACACACTTCGTCTTCAGCCTTTTCATTACATTAGTGACAATCACTCATTCACTCTTTGGCTTTTGTTGAGCTGCTTCACCTCTCGTTCCACAGACACTGACGTCAATTCCTGCGACAATCCAAACTTTTCTGCTTGATAAATGAATGACTGACTTCTCTATGACAGACATGCTGTGTATCAAATCACAACAAGAAAACTACTTTTTGTCCATCATTACATTTACATTATGTCTGTCATATTTTACTTGGGCAAAGTTGGTTTGTTTGTTTGTTTTTTATTATTGTATTAAAAATAAGAATGATTAATTATAATAAATGATTATAATTATTATAGAAATAATTATATTGTGAAATAAAATGAGAATAATTAAAATTACCATCCATTACCTATATAACACTATATCAATATCCATTTTTCATTCAAATAATATATATCATCATTAATAATTATAATTAAAACATATTATATTATAAAATATAAAATTCTAAGAGCAATGATAATAATAATAGCATTCATATATAATATTAAAAATAAGAATATTAATAATTACAATAAAATGGCAATTATTAATTATAATTGTTATATTATTATAAAATAAATAGTGCTGTCAAACGATTAATTGCATCCAAAATAAGTTTTTGTTTACATAATATATGTGTGTATACTGTTTATTTATTATGTATAGATAAATACACACACATACAGTATATATTTTAAAAATATTTACATGTGTATATACATTCTTATATTTTATATTATATATAAATATATTTAATATATAAACATAACATATTTTTCTTAAATATATGCATGTGTGTGTATTTATATATACATAATAAATATACACAGTATCATCTTTGTCCTAGCGATTTTCCCGCTTGGGTGCAGGGTCTGCTGTTCTACACGCCCGTCTCCATTTGGCTCGGTCCAGAGCATCCTCTGGGGCGATGTTGGCGTGCCGCATATCGTCCTTCAAACGGTCGAGCCATCGCTTCTTGGGCCTTCCGTGTCGCTTGCTGTGCAGGCTTAGTCGGACTGCTGTTCTAGCCACCGATCCTTCGTCGCTTCTTACGACGTGGCCATACCACTGGAGTTGTCCTTCTCGCATCTTCTCTACGATTGGGGCGATGCCCATCCGCTATCTGACGTCTTCGTTTGTCACGTGGTCCCATCGAGTCAGACCAAGACACCATCGCAGCATTCACATTTCCATTGTGTGAAGGGCCTGCTCATACTTGGATGTTGCCGGCCAGCACGCCGATCCATAGAGGGCTATGGGACGTACCGCGGTCTTGTAAATCTTGGCTTTCATTCGAATGGGCAGGCATCGATCGCACAGAATGCCAGTGACTTTGCGCCATTTCATCCAGGCGGCATTAACTCGGGTTCGGGCATCCGGGAGGGTGTCGCCGTCTCTGCTGATGACAGATCCGAGATACTTGAAATTGGTCACCTTCTTTAGATCCTTGCCGTCAATGCTGATGGCTCCGTTCGTCTGAGGCCCGCATTCCATATACTCGGTCTTCTTGAGGTTTAGCCGCATTCCGTACTTGTCCAGTCGGGTCTTCCATTGATCCTTGACGGACTCCGACGGTGATGGAGAAGGACGGTGATGTTCCGACCGGGGTTCGAACCATGCTGGAGACGTTGCGGTAAAGCGCTTGGATCCACTGGACGTAGGCCTTGGGCACGTTGTGGGACCGGAGGGTGTGCCAGATAAGGTTGTGCGGAATTTTGACGAACGCTTTTTCGAGATCCAGGAAGGTCACGTGGACTCGCCTGTTCTTCTCCCGGTATCGCTATATGAGGAGCCGGGCGGCGTGACGGTGACGATCTGGCGTAGTCTGGTGTCCAAGATTCGCTCGAAAATCTTCATGGCGTGGCATAAAAGGCGAATCGGACGGTAATTGGAGCATTCCGCGACGTCGCCCTTACCCTTCCAAATGGGTACTGTTGTGCTAGTCGTCCAGGTAGTCGAGGCTGCGCCTTCGTCAACCATTCGGTTGAAAATTACGGCGAGGATCTCGGCACCTCTGCGCCCAAGGAGTTTCCAGGCTTCGATGGGGATATCATCGGTTGTTTTCTCCTTCTTCATCTTCTTAATGGCTCCACTTCCGCTGTCGTGATCGGCATGACGGGGCCAGAGACGGGGTGGGCGCTTTGGTCTGGCGGATGAGGAAATTCGTCATTGCTGATCTTCGCGAAGTAATCGATCCAGCGCTGGAGGATGGCGGGGGCGTCTCGCAAGGTGTTGCCATCGTTGTCCTTGACGTGCTTGCGTTGCGCGATGACGTTTTTTTGATAAATTTTGTTTGCTCCCTCAGGGACGTGTCCAGCTCTTTGTTTAGCCGGTCATGGAATGTGGCTTTCGCCACCGCGACTGCTCTCTTCGCCGCCGATTTGAGCTCTTTGTATTGTTTGTAGTCCAGTTGGCAGCGGGATTGGTGCCACGCTTTGAAAGCCGCTTTCTTCTCCTTGGCCGCCTTTTGCACTTTGTTGTTCCACCACCAAATTTGCTTGTCTATCATCCGCTTTCCCGGCTTTGTCTTTCCAAGGGCGCAACTCGCCGCTTCGTAGATTCGGCCTACCACGTCACTCCAGATGGCGTCCACCAGCTGGTCAAGGTCCACGTCGAGTCTGAGGGTGCCCCTTAGTTTATCCTTGTTCTCAGGGAGCTTCCACCACTTGATCCTCTCCGTCCCGGTCGTCCCCGCTCGCTGATGCTGTCCGAGGTCCAATTGGATGTCCATAACAAGGAGCCAGTGTTGTGGGCCAATGTTATCCAATGGGATCACCTTAACGTTGGTTGCCCGTTTCAGGTCGCGCCGTTTGAGCATCCAATAATCGATCGGTTGCGCACCCAGTTTGCGGGGCATAGCACGAGACCACTCGCATCGACGTCGATCCGGAGGCGATCTAGATGGACATAAGCCGGTCAGACACCCGGCTGACTTTGACGACGCTTTTCACTGACCGCGATTCCGATGCCATTCTGGGTGGATCGTTCGCCGTTGTAGTAGAGCTTGTAGCCGTCGCCAATGTCCCTGGCTTTTGCTCCCTTCCACTTCGTCTCTTGAATGCACTCGATGTCGATGCGGCGGGTCTTGAGGACGTTGGCCAATTTGCGGCTTCTTCCGGTCATCGTACCGATGTTGATGGTACCCAATCATAGTCGTAATCGGACTAGCATCTTTGGCCCACCTTGTCCACAGGCGGGTAAGCCCTCGCCAATTTCTTGCCCGTTCGGGCAATGACGACGCGCGTCATGTTAACCCCGACCGATGCGCTGCTCCATCTGCCATCGGGTATAAATGCATAAATATACACACATATATTATGTAAACAAAAACTTTTATTTTGGATGTGATTAATTGTTTGAAAGCACTAAAAAGAAATAACAATTATGATAATAGTATTAATATTTAAGAATAAGCAATAATAAGAAATTATTTATTATTAAATGACAATTAATTTGAATAAAGTTACTATATTTATTATAAAATAAATAGAATTTCAACAACAATAATTTATTAGTAGTATTAATATTTAATATACTCATCATCATCATATTTTTATTTTATGATATACTTTCATTCTAATCAATAATTAGCATTTTATTATAATTAATGTAATAAATAATTTATAATTATTATTAACTACTAATTATTAATTAAAATAAGACTACAATGATCATAATAATCATTAAAAAAAATGTATCAACTGAGCAAGAATAAAATTATTAATCTTATTTTTTAAATAAAGTATTCAGAATATAATGAACATTTTTCACTGATTCCAGTTTTCTGATTCGTGTTTACCATTACACTGCCAGAGTTTTAATTTTCATGTAATTAAACAAAATATAATCACAGTGTTGTGGTGATTTGTTGAACTTAAGAGTGCTGTAAAACGTATTTGGTTTCATTTGCGTTAAATGTAATTAGTGTGAATCTTTTACAGCAGAGTTTATTCGGACGAAAAAAACCTGTACTGTCTTACATAAGGCTGTTAATTCACCAGGTCATGTGACGAATTCAGACTCCAATGTCTCAAGAAACGTTTTCCACAAGGATTGTGTTATAGCTCAAGTGTGGAGTTCCTCTCAGAGACGTGCTGGAAAAGCGGCTTGGCTTATGTTTTTATACCTGGCAGCGCTCAAGACTCTCCACACACGTCTGATGAACCCCAAACGCCAAGCCTCAGTCATTCCCTTACACACGCAAACACTCCCTCACACACACGTCACACGCGCTGGCAATCTGGAGACCAAACACAAACAACCACCACACCGAAACACGGACATGTCCAGAAGATGTTATGTGATCCTCAGCCTCCTGACAGACCAGAAGTACTCTACAGACTTTAAGGACGGCTTTACAGACGTCACAGATGTGTCATGTGACCTGCGGTGATGTCTGTATGAACATAGTTAAGGTCTGCTAACTAGACGTGGTATGATTAGATGCTACGGGGCATTCACTCTAAGACACAAAATAACTACACATTTTTTTTTTTTTGTTGTAATTTTAGGAATTTATTGCTATAATTTATTTTGAAATTATCATTAGTAATATAAATTATATTATTCATATCATTATTAATATATAACTAACAGTATATTATTATTAATATAGCTATACAAATATAAAGTGTAATTACATTTTTCATTTTATATATGTGACCCTGGACCACAAAACCAGTCTTAAGTCGCTGGGGTATATTTGTAGCAATAGCAAACAGAACA